CTGCAGTTAATGAGTTGAATCTCCATTATACAAACCAGCCGGGAGGGAGAATGCAACTTGCTGGTAGGAATCCGGCCGCTCTCACCTTCTGGGGGAATGTTGTGTGATGCGTTGTGATAACCCGTTTCCTCGTCTGTTCCTCTGCAGGTGGCAGTCTAGCGGACGCCATTAGTGAAAATTACCGCAATATGCGCTACTTCACCGAACCCGAAATAAAGGACCTTCTCCTACAAGTGGCCCGAGGGCTGAAGTATATCCACTCCATGGCTCTGGTTCACATGGACATCAAGCCAAGTAAGTCGCCCCTGACCCCCACCCTCGCCCCTGACCCTCGCCCCTGACCCCCCCACCCTCGCCCCTGACCCTCGCCCCTGACCCCCCCACCCTCGCCCCTGACCCTCGCCCCTGACCCCCCCACCCTCGCCCCTGACCCTCGCCCCTGACCCCCCCACCCTCGCCCCTGACCCTCGCCCCTGACCCCCCCACCCTCGCCCCTGACCCTCGCCCCTGACCCCCCCACCCTCGCCCCTGACCCTCGCCCCTGACCCCCCCACCCTCGCCCCTGACCCTCGCCCCTGACCCCCCCACCCTCGCCCCTGACCCTCGCCCCTGACCCCCCCACCCTCGCCCCTGACCCTCGCCCCTGACCCCCCCACCCTCGCCCCTGACCCTCGCCCCTGACCCCCCCACCCTCGCCCCTGACCCTCGCCCCTGACCCCCCCACCCTCGCCCCTGACCCTCGCCCCTGACCCCCCCACCCTCGCCCCTGACCCTCGCCCCTGACCCCCCCACCCTCGCCCCTGACCCTCGCCCCTGACCCCCCCACCCTCGCCCCTGACCCTCGCCCCTGACCCCCCCACCCTCGCCCCTGACCCTCGCCCCTGACCCCCCCACCCTCGCCCCTGACCCTCGCCCCTGACCCCCCCACCCTCGCCCCTGACCCTCGCCCCTGACCCCCCCACCCTCGCCCCTGACCCTCGCCCCTGACCCCCCCACCCTCGCCCCTGACCCTCGCCCCTGACCCCCCCACCCTCGCCCCTGACCCTCGCCCCTGACCCCCCCACCCTCGCCCCTGACCCGCTCGCGCTCATGTTTCCTCACATGATATGCTATGATATCATATATCTATGCTCTTGGATGGTACATACCGGGGTCACTTATTCAGAGTGGCAATGCTATTCCAGCCGATCCTCCATCTTCAGCGTTCCACTCGCTGCACCCGCTCCGTTCTCTCCCTTGGGAGTAAGCCGCGTTCTGCTCAGAGCGTCCATGTGTCTCCGTGCCTTTCGCTGGGTGCTTCGGATATTAGCTGTGCAGTCTGTTCCAGAAGCAGAAGATTGAAGAAAATAGGTCACCAGCACTCCATAAGTTAAAAGGCCCTTTTTTCCATTTTTGCACCCATGTTATATTCCACATTTTAGGCCTGAAAATGACGTAAAACCCCCCAACATTATATATTTTCTGAATGCCAAGACCCTATAGAATAAAATGGTGGTAGTTGAAAATTTAATATATTGAACTTATGGAGTGCTGGTGACCTATTTTCTTCAATCTTGTGTTTTGCACGGTGCCATCCGTGAAGTTACTCCGAGCACCATTTATTTGATTGTTGGCCGGGACTGCTGAAAGGTGTGCGGAGGGCACCTCCATCAATTGCATCTGTTCCAGAAGCAGCTCTGATAGTGTAATCCGCAACTGATGAGCAGAATGCACGGCTAAAGTCTGCAGCACCCCGGTGGCCATCAGGGAGGAGTATGTATGTCTAAAGGGATGCCGAGGGCGTGTTTTCATATCTCATGGGTTATGTCACATGACCCGCAACATAAGTATATGAGCTTAGTAACATTGTGATTGGCCGGTTGCTGTTGAGGTTTTATTTCTTGCTCGCCTGCAATACTTCTAATGTGCGTTTATGTAAATTACATTTTATTTCATTCTTCCTTCAAGGCAACATTTTTATATCTCGGACGGTGGTGCCCAAGTCCTCAGTAGAAGAAGTCGATGATGAAGATGGCGGCCCCCAAAAAGTGATTTATAAAATAGGTGAGGCCTCTAATTCGGGGAGATTTCTGAATGTTGTGCCGATCGGAATTGTACCGAAAAATCTTTACAATGGAGCAAAAAATGCCCCAAAGCCCCCTCTGTGGTCATGTGACCAGTGCCATGGCCTTCGTCTTATGCTGAAGAAGCCTCTGCATGAACCGTAGTGTTTCTCAGTAAACATCGCACAGCCGGCGTCTGTCATTGTGACGTGACTTCTTCTTTATAAGGGACATGTCAGAGAAAATGACCTTTGTGCATGACCCCCCCCTCCCCCGCCTGTACTAATGTTCTCGTATCAGATCAGTGAGTAGAAATGCTGCAATCTATAAACAGGTTCTGCACGTCTGCCAAGTAATTGGGGTCCTTCTATTGCTTGCTAAGACTTACTACAGATGGAGATTCCAGTTAAATGGGTTTTTTTTTTCTCTGTCCTGGAAATGTTTTTTATTCCATCTTAAATTATGTTTCCCTTTAACCAGGTGACCTGGGTCATGTGACCAGAGTGTCCAGTCCTCAGGTGGAAGAAGGTGACTGCCGGTTCCTGGCTAATGAAATCTTACAAGAGGTGAGACTTATAGAAGAGTGCTGAATCCAGAGTCCGTGTTCTGCACGTGTAGTCTGTCTTTAACCACCAAATCCCCCCCCCCCCCCGAAAAAAAGTTGTTCTCCCTGTGGATTGTGGGGG